GCTAAAGTTTTTGCTAGTTGGTGATTCTGATGTTGGTAAAAACGAAATCTTGAATCTGCTGGATGAAGAACGTATTGAAGGTTCATTTGCCAACGGCCAAGGTAATGCACTGATATGTCGGTATTTTTATCACGGCGGAAATGAGGTGCCTTGCATCGATTAATAAATTTCTTTTAAATATGATTGTGCTGCAGTATTGTCAATTTTGAAGCAATTCGATATTCGTGAGGATCGATGAGATTTTTTAGTTGGAAATTTCTTTCAGACTGATAAGAATAAAATGACAATGATTCGCTTTACGGTTGTTTTGAAGAATGTCGAGCTTGTATCAACAGACTTCTTTTCTTTTGTTACACCAAAAGCCTGAAAAAGCAGAATGGCAAGTTTTATTGTCACGTTGGTCTCGGCCACGTTAAATATTAGTCAACAGTCGATGATCCCCAGCTGATGTGAATTCTGAAAACCTAGTATGTGCTCGCAAAAACTTCTACAGACTACTTTTTCGATATCCACTGCACAAGGATATTAGTAAATGACGTTCTTATAACTATGATACTTTTGTTTCTTAATGGATCCTAATGAATCTCAAGTTTGACTTACATAGAATCTCGAGAAGATTTAACCTATTCCAACACACAGTGAAAAAATTATTTATCTCCTCAGTGTGTTTCGATGATCAGCAATTTTTGAAATTCATATCAGTATTGTAATTTTTGTCATTATTTTTTATCAATACTGTGCGTACACAATTGTATGTAAGAAGTTAGATAGTTTTGGTGAAAGGTGGTTTCGTTTATAACTGTTATCGCGTAACCGATTTAAATTTATTCCAGATTCTGTTTCATTTAGCTCTTCTGTTCTATATTTATTTTTGTATTGTGCAAAATGGCATATTTCGTACACAACACAAAAAGTTTATAGTCAAATGATTTGACCGACACCCACGTTTCGGCCCTCCCCTCCCTCCCTCACGGCCTGCTTCACGGTCAACATGTTGGCAAAATTCACTGGCTGTCAAGGTTGTCTGCAGTAGATAGAATGTTTGGAGCTAAGAGACCCATTGTTGTACTACATTTTTTATAGAGGTCATCGAAGCCCTGAAACGTCCATGGTTCTATCTACTTTAGTATTTAATTTGACTTGATTTTCACCATTTAATCTTCAG